ACACCTTATGATAGAAAGGTTAATTTGTTCAACAACTACATAAATTGTGTGTCAATTTATACACAGCGTGTTCTGCTAAAGCGCAATACAACAAAAAGTTAAGAAAAAATAAACAATGAATGAAAGATGAAAGCAAGTAACAGAGAAATCATTGGAAGTTATTTAAATTAAGCTAAGGGCAAAATAATTACCACAATATGGAATTGTTTTACAAAATAAAATTTTACTAAAAAGGAGTCTGAAAAGAAAATATTTCTATGTATACTTAATTTAAAATCAAAATGCTTAAAATCCCTTATTAAAGAGGAATAAAATTTAATTCCAACCAGCTCTACTGGAGCAGAAACCTAGGAGGGATAAAAATTTAGTTGCTAGGTTTAATATAAAGTATTGTAAAAAATATGAATATAAAGATTATTTAAAATAGTCAATGGCACAGGTTTTCTTTCGTCAACAATACTTCATCTAGTCTGGATAAAACTTTCATTGAGTGCATATCAAAAAACATTAATACAAATGGGTTAGGTTAAACAGTAAAAGAGTGAGGCTTTGTAAAAAGAGAGATAATAGAACAATTACTTGCTTAAAACAACCACACGTACTTTGGCGAGTTCTGCTTCTTTTTTCAGCTCCTCAGCCTGTTTTTCCAAGTTGCTGTTTTTCTCTTGTGTACTTCTCAGCATCTCTTCTGTGTCCAGCAGAGTCTGTTTAAGCCCTTTGATGGCTACACTGTGCTCAGCGATCATCTCAGAATTGTTTTTTTCATGCATCATCTGCAGGTCCTTATACAGATTTTGGCTTTTCTCAATTTGTTTTTCCTGTCAGATTTTAGAGCAATTTGAATGCAATCAGAAATCTAGTTTCTTTTAATACCCTTTCCAACACAACTAGTTAACCTTTTCTCTAGTTCTTCTTACCAGGTCTACTAATTTATCTTGCATTTTCTTCAGTTCTGCCTGATGATTCTTAAGTGCTTCCTGTTGGTCCTGGTCAGCTTTACGTGTTGTCTGTTCTACATTTTCCTGCAGCTGAACTGCCTTTTCATTTGATTTTGTAATCTGATTTTGTAGTTCTTCTAGCATCCTAAAAAATTAGAAAATAGCAAGATGTTTTTGCTGAAAATTTAACAGAGACTGTGTAAGCTGCAGCATTATTCAATTAATACAGATCAAAAGTTTAGAAAAAAGAGGTGTTCAATCACTAAACAGTGTGTAGAATGTTTTAATATCAAATTAAATGTTTCAATAGCAAGATAAATGCACACAAAAGTACAAGTGAGAGGGTAAATTGGCCTCAAAGGTCAGTGTTTAAAAAACATAAATGTTAACAGAGACTGTGTAAGCTGCAGCATTATTCAATTAATACAGATCAAAAGTTTAGAAAAAAGAGGTGTTCAATCACTAAACAGTGTGTAGAATGTTTTAATATCAAATTAAATGTTTCAATAGCAAGATAAATGCACACAAAAGTACAAGTGAGAGGGTAAATTGGCCTCAAAGGTCAGTGTTTAAAAAACATAAATGTTCTCA